GGATTCTACTGTATTTCTCAGATCTTTGAGGGCTGTGAATTTTTGTCCCAATGTATCAAAATCTTTCATGATTTTATCTTTGAATTTGTTGAATTCTTGAGATAACTTTTGAAATGCTCCTTGAATTTCTAATTCCAACTTTGCCTCTATTCTATTAATGTTATTTGCAATCCAAATTCTGAATTTGATTTCTGATATCTCAGCCATCTGTTTATGAATGGGATCTTCAGTTGTGTCTGTCATATCCTTCCTTGGAGGTGTTGGTCTACTCTGGTTATTCATGTTACTGGAGTTTATCCACTGATTCTGCCCCATGATGATTTTATACCATTTGACCAGGTGAGCAGATAAGGAGATGTTGGGTGGGGTCTCCAGGAGTAGTGATTAACCAGCCCTTTACCCAAAAGCTGGGACTGGTGTCTGTACCTTTTCCTCTAGATTTTTGCCAAGGACCCATACAGTGCTATGGCCTGAGAAACTGGGAGCCTGCTTGGTGTGGAGGGGCTAAGTGGCTCTGTCTTATTTTCAGCTGGTCTCTGTCCTACCCTAGTGAATCAGTTACTTTCAGCTGAAGTCTCAGCTGTGGAGAAATACCAGCAATTAAGTTATCACGCCCCCCCCACAGGCAACAATTGGAAAATGACAAAACTTCCTGCAGCCACACACAACCAGGGCACCACTTTGGATAGTCTTCAGTTTATTGGCCCAGTTCAAGAGGTCCAAATCAATTGTCCCAATCAGCACCGGTCTCAGGTGGGAGAGTTCAAAAGTTCTCCAGCAACTAGATAGCAGGGGTCTGCTGACAGCTCAAGTATGACTTGCTCCGGTCCTCTGTGAGGTCAGAAGTACCCACCCAGCAAATAAATTCATCTGGGAAGGTTGATTCCTCCTTCCCCACCTTGCACCTCTGTCACACCTAGTCACTGGTAACCCCACAGTTCCCTCCAATGAGCATATGCTCCAAGGGTTTACACCTGCCTGAGTCACAGGGAGTATGTCTCCTTAGCCAGGCTGCTGCTCTCTGCCACTATCCAGCAGGGGGAAGTGGGGCCTGACACCCTCGGGTGCTTAATGGAGGCTGGGGTGGTTCACTCAGTTCCAGCCCTGCCCCTGATTGATGTTGCTGGCAGAATAGAACAATTTCACAGAATTTGTTTCTGTCCCTGCTACATTCCCCTGCATATCAGATGCTGTTTAAGCTCACAGAAACTGCAACTCAGCCCCAGTCTGTGCTATCCGTTCTCAGGACGGGCTTGGTTAGAGCTCACACTCAGCTGTCAGTTCCAGCCTCTGCCTGACCGCCTTTTTCTCTGCCAAGATCCCCTGAAGTTCAGGTGTGTCTTAAGCTCAGTAAAGCAGTCCTCTGGGTCATCCCCACCCTGGGAATCTGCCATCTCTGCACGCACATATTCTAGTCCCCATGCTCTACCCAGGCCAATACTGCCTCAGGCATACCCTTTACTCATGGGGCCTGTGTTTCTGTCCCAGATCTGTTCCCCCAGTGGCTGCCACCAGAAAAGATGCCCGGCTTCCTGTGGTTGCCCAGAGAGATGGGGAGTGTCTGTCTGGAATATCCCCAGAGGGGATAGGGATAGGGCATGAGCCCTGTTGTTCCCGCCGCTGCAGCTCCTGTTCTGTGTCTCAAGGGCACCATCACTTCTGTATGGTTCCCTCTCAGTTGATCATTTTCTCCTTACTCCCTTGCTGCAGAATCAGCACAGACCAACAACAGCCCTTGCCCTGTCCAGACTTCTCTAGAAAATGCCCAAGAATCTGGAGTCCATGGGGGATAGGCTTCCATCCCTCAGGGCGAGAGGGGAGGGGAGTGCTGGGACTTCAAAATTGCAGGTAGAGAATATATACAGTTTTATACAGTTTTATGCCTGGCAGGAGAGTGCCATGGCACCCTAGTAGCGGAAGGACTTCTGGTTTTTAGAGAGTCTCTCCAATGGGATAAGATGAGAAGATGTTTAAACTCTGCTCACTGGTTTGTATGGAGTACACTTCAAGCCCTTCTCATGGGGGAGGGGACTCCCATCTGTTTGGCTTTTGTACCTTTTGATTGTGTCCTTGGGGTCGCAGCTTGCCTCAGCAGGGTTGATATGTGTTCTTCAACCTTCTCTCTTGGCTTAGCTCTAAACCATAGGCTTAATTCCTAAATTTCTATCCTTTAACACTCCTTCTGGACAGGAGCCTCTGTGGAAAGCTGGCTCCAGTTGGCCATCTTGCCTCCACCCCTATATTCTTATGTGTTTTATTTTCTTTGTAGCTGTTGTGAATGGTATTGAGTCTTTGATTTGACTCTCAGCTTGACTATTACTGATATATAGGAATGCTCCTAATTTGTTGTACATTGATTTTGTGACCTGAGATTTTGCTGAATTTATTTATCAGTTCCAGGTGTCTCTTGGTGGAACCTGTGGGATTTTCTAGCTATAAGATCATATATCATCAGCAAAAGTGATAGTTTAATGTCTTCTTTCCCAATATGCATATCCTTTATTTCTTTCTTTTGCCTGATTGCTCTGCCTAGGACTTCAAAATCCTCCCACAAACAAAAGCCATGTACCAGATGGGCTCACAGCTGAACTTTATCAGATCTACAAAGAAGAGCTGGTACCCATACTGCGGAAATTATTCCATAACATACAGAAGCAGGAAATTCTCCCAAGTTCATTCTATGAAGCCAGTATCACCTTGATACCAAACAGAGAAAAAGAAGACTACAGACTAATATTTCATATGAAGATAGATGTAAAACTCTCCAATAAAATAGTAGTAAACCATCTTCAATCTCACATCAAAAAAAATTGACCATGACAAAGTGGGATTCCTTCATGTTTACATGGATGGAGCTGGAAAATGTCCTCCTTAGCAAAGTATCTCAAGAATGGAAGAAAAAGTATCCAATGTACTCAACACTATTATTAAACTAATTGTTAGCTATCTTAGGAAAGCTACAATCCGAATGGAGCCCTAGACTACAGGGAAAGGGGAGGGGGTGGGGGGGAGGATGGGTGAAGAGAATGATATTGTGGGGATCATGCCTATAATTTATCCTATTAGGGTACATGTGAATTTGTCTAAAGGTTGAATATAAATGTCTTAACACAACAATTATGAGAAAGATATGATGTCTATGTTAGCCAGTTGGATGAGAGTTTTCCAAACTGCATATGGAAGCAACACACTGTATCCTATGATAGAATTAATGTACACAATTATGATCTAATAAAAAATAAATAAAAAACAAACAAAAAAAAGTGGGATTCATCCCAGGGATATAAGGATGATTCAACATACATAAATCAGTAAGAATGATTCATCACATAAAGAGAAGTAAAAATAAAGACCATGTTATTAATGCAATAGACGCACACAAAGCATTCAGCTAAATTCAGCACCCTTTCATAAGGCATATAAGGAACATATCTAAAAATTATTGAAGCTATATATGATAAACCCACAACTTACATTGTACTGAGTGGAGAAAAGTTTGCCCACTGTCACCAATTTTATTCAACATAGTCCTGGATGTCCTAGAAAGAGATATTTAATGGAAATAATAAAATATTACTTGTACAACAGGAAATATTTGCTTAATGTTTAGTATGTGTTGATTTTGTAGAGTTTTAGAATTTTTGGAATAAATATATTTTATATATTCATATACATATACACACATGCATATATGTGTTAATATTCCATTTCTCCCTTTTCTTATGAAGATATTTTATTAATATTATAATTTTAAAGAGATTCATTTTCATACTTTTGACATTTTCACATTTTATCATTAGAATTTTTATGGTTTTCCTCCAAAGGACAATTAATAAAATTTAACAAAACTTGTTTTTAGTTAGAGAAGATATGTTCCCATCTCAAGGTGGGCAAGGGACTTGAATAGAAATTTCTCTAAAGAAGATAGGTGCATGGCCTACAGATACATGAAAAAATGCTCACCATCCTTAATCATCAGAGTAATGCAAATCGAAACTACTTTGAGATATCACGTAACTCCAGTAAGATTAGCCCATATGACAAAATCTCAAAACTGGAGATGTTGGCATGGATGTGGAGAAAAGGGAACACTTATACACTGCTGGAGGGAATGCAAATTAATTCATTCCTTTTGGAGAGACATCTGGAGAACACTTAGAGAACTGAAAATATATCTGCCATTTGATCCTGCAATTCCTTTATTAGGTATATATCCAGAAGACCAAAAATCGCATTACAAAAAAGATATTTGTATCAGAATGTTTATTGCAGCCCAATTTATAATTGCTAAGTCATGGAAGAAGCCCAAGTGCCCATCGACCCACGAATGGATCAAAAAATTGTGGTATATATACACTATGGAATATTATGCAGCCCTAAAGAAAGATGGAGACTTTGCCTCCTTTGTGTTTACATGGATGGAACTGGAAAATGTTTTTCTTAGCAAAGTATCATAAGAATGGAAGAAAAAGTATCCAATGTACACAGCCCTATTTTGAAACTAATTTATAGCTTTCATAGGAATGTTATAACCTAATTATAGCCTTAGAATATGGGAAGGGGTGTGGGAGAAGGGAGGGGAGGGGGATGAATGAGGGGAGGGAGGGTGATTAGTGGGGTCACTTCTATGGTTTATCCTACAAGGGTACAAGTGAATCTTTCTAAAAGCAGAGTATGAATGTCTTAACTCAATAACAGAAAATGACATGAAGGCCACATTAACCAGTTTGATGAGAGTATTTCAAAATGTATGTGAAAACACCACACTGTACCCCATGATTGCATTAATGTACACAGCTATGATTTAATAAAAAAAACTAAAAAAAAATAAAAAAATAAAGAAGATATGTTTATCAAGAAAATATATAGTGTCTTCTACTTGATTTTGCCCTTAAGTAGAATCTCTTGTCCCTTGGGTGAATATCTGTCAGTATTATATGTTCATTTCTAATACCTGATAAATGGCAGAGAGAGATAAAGAATTCTTATTTTTTCTCCAGGAATTTTATACCTTTGGAAGAATATTGGGACAAGGGAGCTTTGGACTAGTAATTGAAGTTACAGACAGGGAAACCCAAACTAAGTGGGCAATTAAAAAAGTGAACAAAGAAAAGGTAAGGCTTCTTAGCAGCATCATACTGAGGGTACAACACCAGCCCAGGTGGGTGTGGGTGGTACAGCCTTTCACACTAACACAGGCTACCTCTGATCCTGAGTGCCAGTCCCTCTGCTGATGCCCTAGGGAAGTGTGTGCATTTCTCTAGCCTCCTGGGAAGGGACTACTTCTTAAATTCAAGTAGGCAAATGCTGTGTGGAAAAAGCATATGGAAGGATAAACAGCATCATTATAAACAAATGTAGGTGAATTTTATCAGAGTGAGCTAAAGGTAAAGGCTGATTCTCAGTATGTGCAGGTCTAGGGCTATGGGATAGATGTCTTCACTAGAAGTAAGTCCTGTTACTCTCTCCTGATGTTGTTCTGACCTTCTTTTATCTCCTTTCATTTCATCATTATTAGCTAATTCCTGGTTTATTCATCCTACTTTCTTTTCAGTTTGGACCACTTTTTCTGCTATCTACTACTATATTGTTTACTTTTACATACGCATAGTATCCATTGTATTCCTCTTCCTCTTGGCTTCTCTTGAAGGTAGAGTCTAAAACCTCAAGACTTTACACCTGATTAGTTCATCAACTTTTAAAGTTTCTGTGCCTGACATAAAACAAAACAACATTATGGTATTTTTCGCTTGGATTTTTGATAATAAATATTTATAACTGAAGTAGTAGGTTTTTATATATTCTTTGAAACAAACTATAGCAAATTATATATAATTTCTCCCTGAAGTTTAGAGAGGCAACTAGTCTTTTTTTTTCTTTTTTTTCTTGTCTCTCTTACAATTGTGTCTTGCCCCCAAAAGGTGTGGCACACACCAAGACCCCACTCCCCTCCCTCCTTCCCTCTCTGTACTCTTCTTTTCCCCACCCCTCCCTCCTTCTTTCTCTCTCTGCTTTCCCCTTCCCCCACCCCCACTGTGTCATTAATTGTCATTAATTGTACAGAGGTAACTAATCTTAATAAAGGAACTAAGAACCATTCTAGAATCCTTAGAATTCTCTAGAATTTTAGGTAGCATCTCAAGTGCTACCTAGCATGTTATTTTCTTTACTCTTTTAATAATAGATAGGGTTAGGATACCTGCTTGCAACTTTAGGAATGAATAATCTTTCATATGCATTCACACACATATTGTTAGAATTCATAGAACACCAAGATAATAAAATAAAAGTATATAGTCAGTATATGAATTGAACTGTATGTTATTGCACTCTATAGGTCAAACTATTTGGGGAAGAGGGAGAAATAGAATTGAGATGGATATTGGGAAGAATTGTAGTAACTTTCAATATCTAGTCTAGATAAGAATTCACACTTTACAGTCACTATTTCTCTTGATTCTCTAGGTCAGTGGTTCTCAAACTTCCTAATGCTGCAACCGTTTAATATAGTTCCTGTGGGTCACAACCCACAGGTTGAGAACCGCTTCTCTAGGTTAACCTTTAAATGTGACTTTCATCCTACATGGGAAGGGCGTGGAAGATGGGCAGTATACTGTCCACTCCTGATATGCTAAAGGTTAAAGAACAAATATAATTGGAAGCTGGAGTGACTATAGGTAAAATATGAATTAGGTGAAGTTTACCATAAGATCAATACCTTTCCACTTCTTATTTTTTATTTATTTATTTATTTTTGAAACAAAGTCTCACTATGTTGCCCTCAGTGGAAAGTTGTGGTGTCACAGCTCACATCAACCTCAAACTCTTGGGCTTAAGCAATTCTCTTGCCTCAGTCTCCCAAGTAGCTGGGACTAAAGGCGCCTGCCACAATGCCTGGCTATTTTTTTGTTGTTGTAGTTGTCATTGTTGTTTGGCAGGCCTGGGCTGGGTTTGAACCTGTCAAGCCTGGTGTATGTGGCTGGCACCCTAGTGGCTGCATCGAATCCCCTTTCCACCTCTTTAAGAACCATTATATACTTTCTCAAACTGGGTGGGGGGATGTGTGGAGGAATAGAATCTTCATTATTCCTTTCAGTAATATTTTTATATGAAAATAAGACTCATAAATAAGGAAAATGCTTGTCTTCCTATGATGACAATTTTACTATCAATGGGTGTAATGATTTGTGGGTGGTGGTAATTGTGAGGGTAGAGAAAGCCCTTCTAGAATTCTTAGATGGCATTGTAGATAGTGAGTTACCTACACCCTATGTGAAGTCCTTGTGCTCCCTAGAGTGTTACTTTATCTTTTGCTGTCTGTATGGTAAGTATTTGATGTTAGGAGATAAAGCTGGGGTTAGGTTGGTCTGAAGGCAAGATCTCTCTCTCTTTTTATCTCTCTGTCTCTCTGTCCCTCCTTCAGTTAACTAAGGGGACCAGGAAGTAGCATGATGTGTGGATGAGTACAGGACTATAGACTCTCACATATAAAATATATATATATATATATATGTCCATATACATGTATACACACACATATACATGTATATATTCTATACTCCTGATCTCTATATATCAGATCTAATCAAAATAAGACAACAACAAAGAGAAAGTATTTTGTTTTTATCTTCTCTAGTTGATGTCTCTGGACATATATTTTGTTTTTATTATGCCAACATCAAAGAATCAACATAATTTTAAAGGAAATATCAAAAAGCATATTAAAATTGGAATAATTTTATAAGAGGACGGATACCATGTTGTAGCTAAGTTATAAACACAGCTGTGGCTCAAGGCCAAATTATATGTAACTTAAGTTGGACAAAGGAGAGAAAGGTCATAATTAATTTATTCAGATCATAGGAATAAATGGCATGATATTATTTGAAAAAGACACTTGAAAAATGTATGAAAAATATGAAATAACTGACATATATTGAGGAATGTAGGAGTGATTTTCATATGTGAAATCTGTGTTTCTTCACTGATTAAGGCTGGAAGCTCTGCTGTTAAGTTACTTGAACGGGAGGTGAGCATCCTAAAAAGTGTAAAACATGAACACATTATACATCTGGAACAAGTATTTGAGACACCAAAGGTAAAGCTTTTTTAGGTGCTGCATTTTCAAAGTTGTTATTACAAAATGAATATTATTATATTCTGAAATCATCCCTTTGGGGCAGTTGCCCATGCCCCTGGCATGAGTCTGTCATTAGAGATTGATGGGAACATTTGGAGAACTTTTATTATTGTTCATGTACTTATGGGTATGAAGATTAGATTGATATTTTCAGTAAATGTTCTGTGTGGCATGTTGAAACCAAATGTTTAAAATTGAAACAACTTCATATACAATTGAATAGTGATTAGAGTTCTCTTAAAGATAGCCTTCCTTTTGGTTTGGTCCTTCATTTCTCCATTAGCATCTATTGGAATATTGTCATAATTTTGCAAGGTCAGTTTCATAATCAAATTGGCAGGGATATATTTGGCATGACAATGTGAAGAAGATATTTCATCATCTGTGTCTTACTACTGAGTTCTGTCTTCTTATTTCCTTAGATATTATCATTCCTCTGTTTAAATGCCTATAATTTTCATTTAGAATTGTTCAGAAGCCTGGATTATTTGCCATTCTGCCTCCAGATTGTTTAGTGCTATGGACTTGAGTATTTCTCTGGAGGAAGAATAATGTAGTAGTTGGGCACATGGACTTTGGGGTTAGATTGCCTGTGCCTTTGAATCCTGACGCTGCTGCTTATTGTTAATTATGACTCCATGGACAAGTTACTCAACTTCTCTATACCTCAGTTTCCTCATCTATAAAATGGGTTTAATAATAGTGTCAACCTCATTTGGTTGTTGAAGGATTTAATGAGATAGTGAATCTAAAGCATCTGTATCATTAAATGCTAGCTATTGCTCTTCATTACTTTGCTTGTCTCTAAGAAAGAAATAATCAATTTGCATTGCAAACCATATGCATTATGTTTGATTTATTATGAGTGCTTGATAACAAAGATTACAGTCATCCTTTATCCATTAGCAATATGTGAATATTCTTCTCGACTCTTTTCAGTCTTAGAAGTAGTGATGTCTTTAATCTCCAGGTAGTCTTAGAATAGTTTTGTTCTTTATTGTAAGTTTTAAAGAATTGGATTATGATGCACTTTGACTTTGGTGTAGTTTTCTCCATGTTTCTTGTGCTTGGTGGATCTGTGAGTTTATGATTTTTATCAAGTTTAGAAAATTTGGGGTATTATTTTCTCAATTTTTTTTTGCCTTTTCTGCCTCCCATTTGTTAACTCCAAGTAAGATTACTTAATATTTTCCACAGTTTACTGGTGCTCTGTTCACTTTTTTCAATCTTATTTTTTTCTCCTGTTTCATTTTGTATAGTGTCTATTACTGTGATTTCAGATTCTAGTATCTTTTTCTGTATCTTTGTGTGTGTTGCTAATCTCTTCTAGTAGAAATTTGATTTGGTTTTATAAAAATCTGTGTATTCCATGTGTCTACTTAACATGCTGAATCCTTCCTCATTCTTCTGGAATATAGTTATAATAACTGTTTTAATGGCCTTTTCTATTGATTTTATCATGTGTGTCATTTCTAGGTCACTTTGATTTTTTTCTTCATTATGAGTTATATTTTCCCTCTTCTTTTTATGCCTGCTGATTTGGGACTGGATTTTTACCTTGTTTACCTTGTTGGATGCTGGATGTTGGGTTATATTTTTATAAACTATTCTTGAGCTTTATTCTAGGATATAGTTCAGTCACTTTGAAACAGTTTGATACTTTTGAAAGTTGCTTTAAGGTTTGTTAGGTGGCATCAGAGTACAGACCCTCTTCATACTCTCCCTAATGCCCCATGAAACAAGGTTTTCCACTGTGGGTAATAGGAACACAAACTGTCCCTGGCTGTGTATATGCTCCAGTGAGTGTTTTCTCTGCTCCTTTTGTGTGGTTCTTTCCCCAGCTTTGGGCAGTATCCGATACACCTGTGCTAATTAGTACTCTGCTGGAAACTTGAGGAGCTTTCTCTCTGTACAACTTTCTCCTCTTCAATACTCTGTCCTGTGAACTGTAGTTCTCTTGGTCTTCCTAGACTCCCACCTCTACCTCCGCAATTCACGGAGATGCTAGGCTCTTCTTGGTTTCTTCCTCTATGTTCTGTGGTCTGGAAATTCTCTCTAGACATAAGCTAGGATAATCAGAGGTTTCCTCTCTGTCAAGAATCACTAACCTATGCTGCCTAATGTTTAATATCTGAAATTATATATATATATGTGTGTGTGTCTAAATCTTAAATTGTTTTAGGTGGGAAGGTAAGTCTAGACTCTGCTACTCCAAGCAGGACTCTAAATCTATGATAGTTCAAAGGCAAAGAAAACCATCATTTGTTTTTGTTTTTTTTTTTTTTTTTGCTTGTTTCTTTTGTTTTTATGTATGGCTTGGCCCTTGATTTATGTAGAACAGGTCTGCCCAATCTGTCCTATAAACACTTATGAAAGTGCAAGTCTTCTGTTGATGCCACCGCAAGGGTTAATGGAAATTGCTATCTGATTGGTTATGCCATGATACTGATCATCCATTCTGACTATGCTGTGGTTTCTTGTGAGTCTCAATGTCCTCCAGGACACTTGTTTTTAATAATTATAAAAAGACTTGTTTTGTAACTTTTATTCATATAAATTTGACCAACTTACATATTTAAATTTGACATTAATTTATTATAGTGTAAGTACTACACTAATGTAACTTTTCCTTTCAAATAGTTTACTTACCGTTTCATGTACCAGCGACAGTGCTGTCAGTGGAAAGCATGTGGTCTAGTTTGAAAGCTTATTTATGTGTTATACTTTGCAGTTACTTTTGAAATTCTTTTTTTTTATTGAATGGTAACTATGTACATTAATGCACTTCTGGGGTACAGTGTGGTGTTTTCACACACTACTTTTGAAATTCTAAAGTAGCCCAAAGTTTGGTAAATCAGAATTGTTGCCATGGGAAGAATGGGAGTTAACATTCACTTGCTGTTTTCATGTTTTCTGACTGAACATAGAAGTTGCATGAGCAGTGCTTTTAGGAACAGGATCAGATCCCAGAATCTTTTTTTTGAGAGAATCTCAAACTGCCACCCTGGGTAGAGTGCCATGGCATCATCGTACCTAACAGCAACCTCCAACTCTTGGGCTCAGGCGATCTTTTTGCCTCAGTCTCACTCTTACTAAGGAGGGTCTCAAACTTGTCAGCTCAAGCAATCCACCCGCCTCAGCTTCCCAGAGTGCTAGGATTACAGGTGTGAGACACCATGCCCCACCAGATCCCAGAATCTTAAAAATGACAAAGCTTAGCAGCATAGGTTAGAATGGAGATGTGGAGGGTACTCTGTGTTTGAATGGCCATAAGTGTGAAAAGGACTTACGTTTTAGTTGACTGTGACTTTTTTTTGACTCAGTAGATGATTTGACTGTTGGAATACCTAAGGTCATCTTAATATGACTCAACAGAAGCAGAAAATAGAGGCATTTTATGCATGACTTCTTACCACTCATACCCAATTAGTCACTGAGTTCCACTGTTTCTTCTTTGTAGGTATTTTTTACATCTTTTTCTTTTTCTCTTCTTGTCTCTATTCTGTGCCTCCCATCTACCTTCTATTAAAAGAGGTCAACATATTACAGCTTGTGAACCAAATCTGGCCTGCTACCTGTTTTTGTATGGCCCATAAGCTAAGTGTTTTTCATTTTCAAATGGTTGAAAAAATTTAAATGAGTAATATTTAAAGATGTGTGAAATTTATATGAAACTCAAATTTCAGACTCTATAAATAAACTTTTCTTGAGGCTCGGCGCCTGTGGCCCAAGTGGCTAAGGCGCCCGCCACATACCCCTAAGGTGGTGGGTTTGAATCCAGCCCGGGCCCGCCAAGCAACAATGACGGCTGCAACCAAAAAATAGCCAGGCATTGTGGCGGGTGCCTGTGATCCCAGCTACTTGGGAGGAGGAGGCAGGAGACTCTCTTGAGCCCAGGCGTTGGAGGTTGCTGTGAGCTGCAATGCCACAGCACTCTACCCAGGGGGACAGCTTGAGGCTCTGTCTCAAAAAAACAAAAACAAAACAAAAACAAACAAAAAAAACTTTTCTTGAGTTGTTTATGGCTGCTTTCCTGCCATAGCAGCAGAATAGTTGTGAAAGAAACTGGCCTGCAAAGCCAGTAATACTTACTACTGGGTCTGGCCTTTATAGAAAAAGTTTGCTGAGCCCTGTTCTGTAATACTGCTAGAATTTTTGTTTAGAAATGCACAATTGGTAATATCATACACCTCCCTGCACCAGGCACCAGCTTAGAAATCTTCAGTGGCTTCTTATGGCATATGGGAAAAATCCATACCCCTTAGCATAAAATCCAAGATTCTTTAAACCTGGCATCAGGGCATTCTTTCTAGCCTCATTCCTTACCACTCTTCTCTAACTCCCTACCTAGTTCCCAATACTATTAACTCTGAGGTATCTGTTATTCTTTGAACAGTCAGTGCTATTTCAAGGTTTGGAGTCTTTGCAAATACCATGTGCTTTGCCTATTCTTTCCCACATATCTATCCAGAAATTCCTATTCAGACATCCATACCTGGCTTTAATGCAGGGGTCCTCAAACTTTTTAAATAGGGGGCCAGTTCACTGTCCCTCAGACCGTTGGAAGCTTGCACTGCGGGCCCTGGGATGAGTCGGCTGCTAAGCAGGACAGGCAGCGGCAGCAAGAACACCCGGTGGGCCACATGTGGCCTGCAGGCCGTAGTTTGAGGACATCTGCTTTAATGTATGCTCTTCAGTGAGCATTCTTTAGGGAGAGGCTGCCCCTCCTCTGTAATCCCCTGGCATTTTAGACCATTAGCACTTAACATATGATATTATAATTGTAACTATCTCTGAGCTTCTTGAGGGTAAATATAATACTATGTTCTGGCTGAGTGTGATGGCTCACACCTGTAATGCTAGCACTTTGAGAGGCTGTAGTGGAAGGAACACTTGAGGCCAGGAGTTTGACAATAGCCTGAGCAATATAGTGAAACCCCATCTCTATGAAAATATAGAACAATTAGCTGGGTGTGGTGACACACGTCTGTAGTCCCAGCTACTCTGGAGGCGGATGCAGGAGGAACACTTGAGCCTAGGAGTTTTAGTTTTCAGTGAGCTATGATGATGCCACTGTACTCTAGTCTGGGCAACAGAGAAAAGAAAGACAAAAAGAGTATGTCTTATACGTCTTTGTTTCTCTATTATCCATTACAATATCTTATACATAATAGATAATATTTTTGAATGAATAAATTGATTGAGATTATGATTATATATGCAAATATATAAAAAATTCCTGGGTATGTAATTTGTACACTTTCTCTTTCTTTTCAATATGTAATGTCAGAAAATGTACCTTGTGATGGAGCTTTGTGAGGATGGAGAACTCAAAGAAATTCTGCATAAGAAAGGGCATTTCTCAGAGAATGAGACAAGGTGGATCATTAAAAGTCTTGCATCAGCTATAGCATATCTTCACAGTAATGGTAAGAAGAGATCATCTAACTTTACTGACTCCATGAATGCAGATACCACTTTTATTTAAGGGTAATTTTATTTTGGATCCACAGTCATATAAATAACACCTGTTAATAAAGAAGATTTAACTTTTTAAGTAAAAAATTTTTCCTTTTAAATTTTTTTGTAAATACATTTTAATTAGAAACAAGGCAGGTATATAACATTGTATATGGACAAGGATGAAATTATGAACATCTTTATTCAACAGTTTATTTTATTTCAGGTTAAAGTGAGGGTACAAACAACTAGGTTACAATATTTGCATTTGTTAGGTAGAGTCCCTCTTGCAGTTGTGTCCTGTACCCAGAAGGTGTGTCATATACCCTTACATTGTGCCCATTAAGTGGGAGCACACCCATCCTCTCCTCTCCTCCCTTCTCTCCCCTCCTTCATTCCCCATCCCCCCAACTTGAATTGAATTGAGTTTTCCTCTTATGTGGGCATGTATTAGATCATCTGCTGGCTACATATTGAGTACACTGGATACTTGATTTTCCATTCTTGTGGTACTTTACTAAGAAGAATGAGTTTCAACTCTATCCAGGTTAATACATGAAATGTAAAGTCTTCTTTTTTATGGTTGAATAGTATTCCATGGTATATACCACAATATGTTAACCCATTCCTGGGTTGACAGACATTTAGGTTGTTTCCATATCTTGGTGATTATAATTGAGCTGTGATAAACAGTCTAGTGCAAGTGGCTGTATGATAAAATGATTTTTTTTTTCTTCTGGGTAGATGCCTAGTAATGGGATTGCAGGATCAAATGGGAGGTCTAATTTGAGTTCTTTAAGGATTCTCCTTACTTCTTTTCAAAGAGGCTATATTAGTTTGCAGTATTACCCACAGTGTAAAAGTGTTCACTTCTTTCCACATCCACACCAGTATCTGCAATATTGGGATTTTGTGATGGATGTGGGTTATTCTCACTGGGGTTAGGTGATAGCTCTGGGTGGTTTTGATTTGCATATCTCTGAATTAGGGACAATGAGAATTTTTATCTGTTTGTTAGCCATTTGTCTGTGAGCAGCTAATATTATCAAATCAAAAGTAGATAAATTAATATTGGATAAAGGTGAAATGACCAAAACATTTACATATTAATAATAAAATTATTCCATAAAAATAGTATTAAAAATCTAAACATTCTGGGTTTTTTTCCCTAAAAAACAAGGCCGCATGACTCAGCACCCATAGCTCAGTGAGTAGGGTGCTGGCCACATACGCTGAGGCTGGCAGGTTTGAACCCGGCCCCGGCCTGCTGAACAACAAAGGCAACTGCAACCAAAAAGTAGCCTGGCTTTGTGGTGGGCTACTTGGGAGGTTGAAGCAAGAGAATTACTTAAGTCCAAGAGTTTGAGGTTGCTGTGAGCTGTGATGCCAAGGCACTCTACCAAGGGTGACATAATAACACTCTGTCTCAAAAAAAAAAAAGGCTTTATTGTTAGAGTAATTTTAGGTTTACCACAAAATTCAGCAGAGGTACAGAGATTTTTTTCATGTATTCCCTGCTCCCTCACATCAGATGTCAAACCCACTATTAAAATCCTCCTCCTCCAGGGAGGTCTATTTGTTACAACTGATGAATGTTCATTGGCACATCACTATCAATACAGTTTACATTAGAATTCTCTCTTTGTACATTCTGTGGGTTTTGGCACATATATAATGACATAATGACATTTATCTACCTTTATAGTATCATATAGAGTAGTTCACAATACTTTTTTCCTTGCAGGCTTAGTTTGGCTTACATGTGACTTTAGAACCTTCTCATTTTACAGATGACAAAATACTTTGTTCCAGAGAGGGGCAGTGGCAGAGTTTGCTGTGGCATGCTGATATTGGAGCTCAATGGTTTAGTCAGCAGATATTTCCTGAGCATCTACTCTATTATGATTAGTCCTAGAGTAATAAAAAGTAAAAGATGAGGCTTCTGCCCTCTAGGAATTCAGGCTGCTGAGAGATTGAGTATGGAAAACAAATTGTAATTGAACTTGATAATATCTCTAATGGGAAGGCATATAAAGTGCAAGAGACATAGGCATATATTTAGTAAGTACCTTATTTGGTTTGGAAAGTTAGGAAAGAATTCATGGAGGAAACAGTATTTGATCTGAGGAATATAAAGTTGGAAAAAAATGGACTTTCCAAGCAGAGGGAAACAAATTTTGCAAGGGCTTAATAGTAGCCTAATGTCAATCCTCCCATATTAAGCTATAAATTTAGTATAATTCCAAACAAAATCTTAATAGCATTTGTCATGGAACTTGACAAGATTATTCTAATGTAGGCGAGAATAGCTAAAACAACAATGAAAAAAAAAGAAAGAACAATGGAGGCAGCAGAGAGACTTGCCCTGCAAAAAATCGAAACATGAAACTGTGTGGTATTTATGTAAGAGGAGATAAGAAGAACAATAAAAACAATAAATATTCTGAAAAGAAAGCCTAGGAATTGTGTAAGGGAACCCATAAATGATTAGGTATAATTGCCAGTCCAGGGCTAATTCAACTACATTTTTCTAGCAATTTATATGTATAACTTTTTAAGTCTAGGGAAGTGATTGTTATGGATATGAACTAAATTAGTTATTTGTAAAAAAGTCTTTGGTACATGGTTATTTGTATGTGTAAGAAAATCCTACCTGAGCTCTGACATGTTCAACTGGAGATTTTGTGTCTCAAGCATTTTTGTTTGTTTGAAAATGTGTGTTGCTATTGCATAAAAAATACCTGAAATAAGTATAGTTTGTATGTATATAGCCAAGTTACAGTGTGTTAAAATGTTTATGTTGACAGTAACATATGCATAAAAGTAAAGAAGTTATCCTCTATTTGAAGACCTAAGGATGTGGGAAACCTTGCTGGGCTTCTGACTAAGATTGGTTTTTTCCTCCTGGAAATAGCAAAGCTTGGATAGGATCTTTTTTCACACTCTAGGCCACTCATCTTGAAGAGCAGCCATTTGGGGCAGCAGGGGAATAGGTAGAGATGAAGGAGTCAAAGGAAATGGCTCCTTTAGATTGGAAATGTGGGGAAACAGGCAGAATGAGATGGAACAGGCAGAATAAGCTCGTCCCTTCTCAAATTTCCCGTAGTGGATATTAGTCAGATATGTTTATTTCTTCTATGTGTGTGCTTTCTCATTATTTTTCCATTATTCATTTCATTTTATTTTTTGTTTATTTTCTTGGTAGATATTGTACACAGAGATCTAAAACTGGAAAACATATTGGTTAAAAGCAGCTTTATTGATGCTAACAATGAATTAAACTTAAACATAAAGGTAAGATTTTAGAAATGGCAATACCTATTTGCCTATAAATATTTTGATATTAAAGTGGCAAGTACGTCTTCTTGTTAGATACATTTTGGTAGCTTTTGAGCGGCCAGATAATAAGTGGCTTGTGCTAAAGAATAAAAATTTCATAGGGATGGTTGTAACTGACAAGAATAATTTTACAAGTTAAGTGGTGCTATTGAATGTGTTTTTTAAAGTGCATATTCACTTGGATAGTTCTGAAACATTAGTTAATATCAAGCAAACAGATGCTCTGAATTCTAATTAATTTCAAAATTATGCCTGGTAATTTGATGTAAATGTGTTACAGATTTAGAGAAAAACACACCTTGGCTATGTTTTTTATACCAAATTAATTTCCCATTGAAAATTTTCCTAGGTATTAATATTTATGTCCTAGGCACATTTAATGTGCCAAGTGTTTATTCTGAAAGACTTTATTCAAATTAAGTGTTTTTAACGTTAAATGATAGCATACGTTACTTATTATTCAACACTTAAGCAACTATATTCAAAATATATGAATGTGTTAATTTAGGAATAAAATGTCTCTAAGTAACTTGCTCTGTTGCAGAAGCCAAATCCCTAAGTAATATAAATAGATTTGAAAGCATTGTTGATTTACCGAAGTAATGTTCTTGAATAGTTCCATTGCAAACACCATGAAGGCAGGAATTTTGCATGTTTTAGTTGCTTGGTATCTGTGCTTAATTAACATTTGGTGAATGAAGGCATAAGTGTTCTTCAAAGAATTAAATTGAAATGTGAAACCTCTTCCAATTTTATGTGTCTGTATAGATTTTCTATAGAGAAAGGTATGTATCATATACTACAAGTGAGATATTCATGAAAAATCCTGGAGAAATTGATTTATCTATTTAGAAAAGTAGTGATATCACATATTAATGGGAACATTTTCTTATTCCAGAAGGCATTGGAAAACTTTGCAATTGGTATCTGTAGACCAAGAGCCTGTATTTGGTTGCTTGATCAATAAATATGCCTGTTTTTCTGCTTGTAATCCAATGGTGTTCCAAGTTGGGAGAAAAGAGCACAAAGTGAATATTTAATAACCAAATATTTAATGACCAAGATTTAGAACAGAGCAGGAACACTACTGCACAGCAGCAGACCCCTCATGTATTAGCAGTTAATACTGTGTTGTTGTGGTTTCTTCCCTGTTCATTTGCTTCTTATAGTTTTCAATAGTGTAGTAATTGCTTTAATTAGTATACTCCAGAAACACAAAGGAAATAATAGTAAAGAAAGGACAGTGTTTGCCAATTATAAATAATTATAAAAGGGGGCATTTCACTCATTACTGACAAGGACAATGATTTGTATTTGTAACAGTGCTTTAAACTGGAATATAACTTGATTATCAGGAAAATAGATGATAAATATACTAAGGCCAGAATGCATGGTACAATGCATTTTTTAAATTATTGTTTTCTTTATTCTTCTAATATTGGTCCAATAATGCATTTTTAAAAGAAAAAACAACTTCTCTATCTGAAAAAAGTTAAATGACTTCTTTCAAGATACAACTTCCTGTGTTGAACTGGTCAATTATAAGGCATGAACAATCAAATCATGGGTATTCTGCTGAAGATTTCAGAAAGCAAATTTCTCTTTACCAAGTTTCTTCTCCATATAGACATGTGGGTGGGAAGGGAAAAGCAAGATTCTTATTAACAATGCAAGTAAAATCCTCTTACCCCAAGAACCTCTGAATTCAGTGCAAGGGCAATGTAGTGAAAGTCCTGTTTTCAGAATGAGTGAGCTGTGGGGCAGGGAAACAGGTGACTATGCCGGATTTCTTGTCCTAGGTGACCGATTTTGGCTTAGCAGTGAAAAAGCACGGTAGAAGTGAAGCCATGATGCAGAGCACATGTGGGACTCCTATCTACATGGGTAAGTTAGTAGACTTAAAATGATTTTTTATATGTAAAAAAGTGATTTAAAAAAGTCAATTACAACTTGAACAGTTTGAGTTTGTCATGAACTTACTGGCACTTAGTTGAGCTACTTTTTCTTTTCTTGGTCAAATAATTTTACTCATAGTTGTTTTACTCATAGTTTCTACCGCTAAAGATTTTTGTAATTTTTAATATTTCTCTGGACTTTTCTTAAAGTTGTTTTATCTTTTAGGTAATCATACCTCAAGCTTATTGTTTATGTTTACTAATGCTAAAATCATGTGTATAATTGCTTCTTTGTATTTTTATACAATTTCATTGCCATCAGTTTTTCATAAAGAGTACTGATTAAATATATTTTATAAAGCAACATTTGCTATTTTTCTACATGTGATTTTTAACAGCTTTACAAAGTCTAAATACCATAAAATGTACAATACAATGAATTTTTTATAAATTCACAATATTGTGCAGCCATCACCACAATCTATTTTAACACATTTCTACTCCAAAATGTTTCCTCATGTCCATTTGTACTCAATTTCCTTCCCATCCCAGGCCCAGGTAGCCACTAATCTCTCTAGGTTTGCCTTTTCTCCTCTCTCTAAACTTGGCCTTTCTTGGACAAGCTAAATGTGATAGCTTTGTAATTCAAATTTTCTGTATTGTTAATTTATTTTTGCTTGCTACTTCTGTTTTTGTCTAAGAGAATTATTAAAATCATTAGCCCAGATAGGGTTTTGACACAATTTTTTTAACTTTAGTAGGTTAAAAAAAAACCCACTTTATAGAAATACAAATTCTAAACAACAAAATGCACAAATATTAGGTACGAAGTTTAATGAGTTTTGACAAATGCATACCTTGTGTAATCACCACCACAATCAAGATATAGAACTTTTCTTTCACCCTGGAAAATTCTTTTGTGTCCCTTTTAGTCAATCCCTGACCCAGATCTCACCGATGATTTCTGTTACCACAGTTCAATCTTGCTTTTCTAGAAGTTTATATAAACTGAATGATGCAGTACACACCACTATGTGCTTGTCTTCTTCTGTTTCACATAATAATTTTTAGACTAATCCTTGTTTATTCATTTTTATTGCTGAGGACGGTACCTCGTTCATTGCTTTTTTACCTACTTGATGCATAAAGTTTTGAAATTGTTTTATCTTATTTGGATTCTGTTCATATCCCCCTGTTGGCAAAAGACATCTGGTCTATAGTTATATAGGGAAAATATATTCAAGTGCCCTGAGTTTTATGCCTGATTATTAGTTGTCAACACTGATAACAAGTAAGAGAACAAGAGAGAAGACAGATGGTTTGTGGAGCTTTGCTGACTTCCTAAAGGGCTCCTTGGCAGTTACTCTGGCCTCTGCCTTTCTGTGAGAGCTGGGTGACAGTGCAAGTAGATATGTCCCTGATAATTAAGAAGAATCTGAAAGAGTGAAGACCAGGAATTTCTGGCCCCTGCTGTGCAATACACCAATATGGAGATCCATCATTGAATCTAATCACAGAATTTTCCCTTGTCATAGATGCGCTGGCCGTAGAGCCACTTGAACTTTGATGATTAAGTATTTAAAGATTGTAAGTAGAATTAAAGAATACAAGTAGCTGCTTAATGGAAATATTAATTAGGTAATTTTCAATCATTAAGAGACTACTAAGTTTGTTAGTTATTTATGATTTAGCCTTTTCTCATTCTTCTGTTTATCGTTTGACAACCTTTTTTTTTTTCATTCCTTTTATCAATAGACAAAGGAAATAAGAAGAAATGAAATTCCATTTACTTTTAGTAGTTTTTATAAAATGGCAGTGGTGGTGTTATATGTGTGTGTGTGTAGGTGGGAAGAATGAAACTGTTTTCTAAAATAAAAGCATATTTTTATGTTGGAGGTACTATGTAGCTGTGTAACTTTTGGCAAGTCATTTAATATATTTGAATGTTAGTTGTTTCATTGGCTACTGTGTAGCTGTGTAGCTGTGTAACTTTAGGCAAGTCATTTAATATATTTGAACCTTAGTTGTTTCATTGGCGAAGGGAGTCAAATGCCTACATACTCATCTTACAGAATTATTAACATAATTTATACAAATAATCTACAGAAAGTACTTTGTAAATTTCAAAGTTCTATTGAAATATTTATATTTAAATATATAAATATATATAAGTTCTGAAATATATATATTTATATATACTTATATATATACATTTTATTTTTATGTTTATAACTGTTTTCTTTAAAGAAAGATATCTGATCCCTAGCTGTAGAGCTATATTAGACACATACCTGCAATATCATTTGTCACTTTTTAAAAGCCAGCCATTATTTAAAAAAAAAAAATCTTATTGTTAAAAATGTGCTATATTAAAGTAAAAAAAAAGTGTGCTCCAAACTCCCTCCCTCCACCCATTCCCCCGGTTTACCTTATAGGGGTACAGGTGAATCTTTCTAAGAGTAGAATGTGAATGTTTTAAAGCAAGAACTGAGAAAATGACATGAAGGCTGTGT